AATTTTCTCTGTCGTTTTCTTTTTCTCTTTCTGTTCTGGAATTCTGATGACACATAGGGTATACTTTTTGATGGTATCCTACATGAACCTTAGCCTTTCTTCATTTTGTTTTGATCAGTTTTTTTTTGTTTGTTTTTTTTGATTGATCACTTTCCAAAGAAGTAATGAGGTATTTGCCTTCAATCTCACTAATTCTGTCTTTCATAGATTCAATTCTGCTTCTTTGCCCATTCAATGTCTTATCTATTTCTGAAAATTTAGTACGAACCTTCTGGGTTTCTGTAGGTAGATTTTGTATCATTTCTAATTTTTCATTTATTTTGTCATTTTGTTCTTGTATTGTTTTTCAAAATTATTGTAGGGTTTTCTCTGTGTTTTCCTCAATTTTGTCAGTGTTTTCCTTGATCTGTCTCTCAATTTGTGAAGATACCTAAAATAATTCTTTTGAATTCCTTATCAGGGAGTTCCAATTCTGCGTCTTCCTCAGGGATGTGTTTTGGGTCTGTATCCTGGTCCCTTGTTTCTCCTGCTTTATCTTGCTTCATTGTGTGGACTGTGATGCTCTGTTGTCTCTGGGGCACTATGATGTTTTTGTGTTTATATTTAATTGGTCATTGCATGTTGTAGTGACTTGCCCACGGTTTTTGTTTTCTTTGTTTTGTTTGTATGTTATCTACACAAGCAGGGTACTGTGCTGTGCTCCTCTATTCACTAGTTGACAGCACTTATACACTCATTACCTGTCTCCTTTCTTGTTGTCAGCCTCTTGTATGTCCCTGCCAACTTTGGCAAACAGAGCCTATTCTTCGCTCCTTGGAATCTGAATGTAAAGGCTATCACTCTAAAATCCAAAATGGTTTCCACTTGTGAAGATTCAAAATGGCTGTACTTTAAATATCCAAAATGGCCACTGCTTATAAATATTCAAAATGGGTGCACCCTTAGTCACTTTAAATATCCAAAATTGCTGCCACTTGCAAACATCCAAAATGGCTGTGTCCTTGGTCACTCCATATATCCAAAATGGCTGCTGTGTGTAAATAATCAAAATGGGTGCACCCTCTGGACAGCGGAAAGTCAGCAGCTCAGGTTGTCTGCCTCCTTGCTGTTTCCCTTCCTAGTCATAGGCCACCAGTGCAGTCATCCCTGCAGCCCTTGTTGACCAGGGCTGATCTTTAGGTCAATTCTCAGGTTTCAACACCACTTGGAAATAGGCTATTGCTCCCGTCAGAGTAGCTGACAGTCTGCAGCTCTGACTGTCTCTGTACTCACTGTTTTCATTCAGGTTTTTCTACTAGTTGGTGCGTAATCCACTTCTGTATAGTTCCTGTCAAAGCTTAGGGCTCCAGGATTATCTTCTGTATCTTTATCAATTGGTTTTTCTTTTCTTTGTTGAAGAAGGTCTGTGTTGCTTGTCTGTCTATTCCTCCATCTTACCAGAAGTCCCTTGTGTCCTTCTTATCTATGTATTCCTGTCTGTCCAACTTTCCCTCTATGCACATGCTGCCCTTCTGATGTCTCACGGTTGATTGATTTAAGTGGTGCATCTCCCTAGCATAGGTGGATAAATGTCCCTGGGGTAGGTCTTCTGCTTATAGGCCTTTCTACTGTTTGCCTGAGAGCTAATCCATAGAAGTGAGTCTAGTTTCATGCCCAAAGGATAGATCTGGGGCCATAGTCTCAGGGATTTCACCAGTCTCTATCCGACCGATAATTCTGGTCATTTTTGTGGTTTTTGTTCCACATTTTTCCTCCAACTCTATATAGGATCTCCCATTTTGATCCCTTCTCGAGTGGTTGTCATTGGAAGCTGGGCACCACCTAGTTCTGGTCTCAGGTCATGAAGACTGAGGTTCCCATGGTCCATCATAACCTTGGACTAATTGTTTCCATGACTTTGATTTTCTTCAGTCTTGTTTGTTCCAGATGAGAAGAGACCAATAATTGCACTTTAGATGACTGCTCAAAACCTTTTAAGACCCCAGTTGCTACTCACCAAGGTAGGATGTTCAAGAAGACTTTTATGTACTATGTTGTGCCAACCAAGCTTGATGTCCCCTGAGACCATGGTCCTGATCCCCCATGTCCAGTGACTCATTCCCTCAAGGTGGTTGGTTGTCACTGTGAAGCTACTCCAAACTTGTCCCCTGTTACTTCTATAATGTATATGGATATTTTTGTACCACAAATACACATGTAAGAATATCAATAGAGATGTTGATTTAAAACAAGTTTGTAACTGCAATGTAGGGAATTGCTTGGTATGGTGTTGCTACCCATGGTGTCTGTGACTCTCACAAGATGACTTGGTGGGAATATGCAAATGTGAAGTGCTTATGGCCCACCAAAGGAACTGGATAGCTTACTAATAAAGTAAATAAGGTGAATGGCACCCTTGTGGGGGAGGGACCATGCAAATAAGGTATATGGACCCCTAATATGGGGATTGGCCAATTTTACCATTTTGCTAGGCTTAAAATGAGCTATCCCAGAGGCAGAAATGGAGGATCTCACTACCATCTGGAAAAAAAAGCCAGAAGTGGAATGTATCCTTTGGACTGAAGATCCCTGCACTGAACCTCCTTGATCCAGGAGACAGAGAGCTGTGACATCGGAGATAGCAAGAAATGACAAGAAACAGCCGGAGAGAAATGGGGGCAGCAGAGGCAGCAGAAACAAGAGAATGGCACCAGACAGAGCAGTGGGCTTCCTGGCCCATGGAGCAAGAAAGCTGAGTGCCTTTGGACAGGAAGTCTGCTGGCAGAGTTGGATGTCGCTAGGCATTTATCCCTGGAACTAGACTTGCTGACCGAGGGAGCAAGAAAGCTGAATGCCCCCAGGCAGGAGGCTTGCTGGCAGAGTCAGATACCTTTGGCACTTACTGGTAGAACTAAAAGAACTTTGTAACACTTTCTAGAGCAGGGCAGAGGCCAAGAGGCTATGAGGCCTAGAGGTCAAAGGCCAGAGAAAGATCTGCCTGAAGACATGGTTGAGAAAAGGCTGTCCTGATTGAAGTACCGTATCTTGAGTTGTTCCTGATCTGAATTGTAATTTGTTACTTCCCTAACAAACCCCATAATCATGAGTACTGCCTTTGAGTGCTATGTGGCCACTGCAAAGAATAACTCAGCAAAGAAGTAGTGCTGTGGGAGAGATGGGTGGTGTCAAGATTGGTATGAAAGATGGAGGATGGAGACATGTGAGTCCTCTGCCTTACAGGAATCAGCCTTGGGCTATTGATCTTGATCCTCCTCCCCCTTTGTAAAGTTAGACACCTAACTTAAATGTCCCCTTTTCAAAAAAGTGTCCTGTTAATACTAGGGCAAAGTTACTGTTCTCTCCATGAACTGTCTTTAACACTTGAAACATGTCTTTATTTTAACACTAAGGTTATTCAGAAGGTTGCTCAATTAGCATGGATTCCTAAATGGTGGTGTTGTTCAGTATCCTTAATTCTAATAAACATTCTGAGCAGGCCAGATGAGTGTAATTTACATCTGAACAGATGAAATAAATGATCAAATGGTATATTTAATTAGTAATACTTGAGAATCACACTAACAAATGTTTTCTGTAGCATTTACTACATATATCAAATAGTTAGGTCTATATGCCTAAGTCTAATTCAGAAGTCCATTCTTTCTTACAGTATGTCTAAATAAAACACTATTCTTAAGAATTAGAAAGCAGACTTACCAGTCTTCTCCTTTCTTCTTCTACTGCAATGAGTAGCCTTGCAAATTCTTTTAATGACTGAGCTATGTAAGGGATAAATTTTAAAAAAAATCATTAATCTCTTTTTATATTGTTAATATTTAATTACAAACCAAACCAAATCAAACCGATTGAGTCTATTCCCACTCATAGCAACCCTATAGGACAGAGTAGAACTGCTCCCTAGGGTTTCCAAAGCTATAAATTTACAGAAGCAGACTGCCACTTCTTTCTTCCATGAAGTTCCTAGTGCTTTTGAACTACCAGTCTTTCAGTTGGCAGGCAAGCACTTTAACCACTGTGCCATATGACTCATTTAATTACATTGTTGTTGTTGTTATGTGCCATCGAGTCGGACCCGACTCATAGTGACCCCTCCTTGGGTTTCCGAGGCTTATCACTATGGAAGTAGATTGCCCCATCTTCCTTCCTAGGAGTGGCTGGTGGATTTGAACTGCCAGCCTTCTGGTTAGCAGTCAAGTACCTTAGCCACTATGCTACATAGGAAAAAATATTATAGTAAAACTAGTTACACTGATTTGTATATATTACATACTATAGACTCGTATTTTTACAACCATAAAACAGTTTATACTATAAGATTTCAATGACTAACAGCTATATATGTAGAGTTGTATGTATGCGTGCACACTGAAAATTGAAATTTAGCGGGTACGAAGTATAACTTTTTTTCTTCAGATATACTAGGGAAAATGCTTGGACATAATTGGTCCAAGGGAATAGTGGACCATGTGAACCTCAGGGTCCAGGACCCTGAGACCAGAAGAACTACATGTGCTTGGCTACTACTGCCAACCACTCTGAAATGAGTCACAATAGGAGACCCTGAATAGAGTGGGAGAAAAATGTAGAGCAAATCTCAAAATAACAAACACACCAGGCTCACTGGTCTGACAGAGACTGGTAGAACCACTGAGATTATGGCCTTTAGTCACTTTTCAGGCCTGGAACTGAACTCACTCCCCTGGCTCAACTTTCAGCCAAATAATAGACAAGCCTATGAAGTGAACACTAACATCAGCGAGGTTAAGCACTCCTTAGAACAATCAACCATAAGAGATCAAAAAAGCAGCATTTGCCCAAGGGTAAAGCTCACAAGGCAGGAATAGATAGGAAAGAAAGATAAAGGAAAATGATAACCATAGGGAAGAAGTGGGAAGAATGCTGTTAAACTATGAGGAACTCAGATTGCAATCAATGTCACAAAACACCATGTGTACAAACTCTTTGCATGGAAAAACAATTTACTCAATAAACTTTCACTCAAATCACAGTAAAAGCATGATAAAATAAAATAAAACAAAAATTTAGGGGAAATATAGTTTACTTATCTAATACATAAAACTTACATTTAACAAATCATTAATAAAATATTGGTATAATTTCTAAATGTTCTTGTTGTTGTTATGTGCCATCAAGTTGGACCAACTCATAGCGACCTCTCCTTGGGTTTCTGAGGCAGTATCGCTACCGAAGTAGATTGCCCAAGCTTTCTCTGGAGGAGTGGCTGCCAGAAGCCTGGCAGTTCAAACCCACCAGCCACTCCTTGGAAGGAAGACTGAGCAATCTATTGTAGAGATACCGCCTCGGAAATCTGAGGAGCGGTCACTATGAGTCGGACCTCATAAGTAATAAAAAGTATTTTTTTTAATCTGTAAAAAGCAATACATTTAGCACTATTTAGATGTACATAGTATCAGTCAGGGGAGCTCTGGTGGTATAGTGCCTAAGGCATCTGAAGACTGGGCAATCTACTTCCATAGTGATACTGCCTTGGAAACCCAAGGAGGGGTCGCTATGAGTAGGTTCTGACTCCACCGCATTGAGTTTGGTTGGAGTAGCAGTAAGTAATGCTAGGTCTGCCACTGAGTTTCAGAAGCTCAACAGGCATAGATGTTTGAAAAGACTGTATTCTGAAATGATCAAGGTTACTACCACTGCAAGGACCTTTGTTTGAACTTTGCTATTCACAAGATGGTTCCAAGCACCCACAGTGTCAGCACTGTTAAAAATACAGACTCTACACACACACACACACACACACACACACAGACACACACACCATCTGCATTTTAACAAGATCCTCAGGTGATTCTTGAGCACAGTAAAGGTGAGAAGCACTGTTTTAGAAACTATCTACACCTCCACTGGAGTGGTTTAATAAGACTACCATAGGAAAAATCATCTAAACAAGAAAAAACAAAAGGAAAAGTATCAAATATTCAGAAACAATGGGAAAACCAACTAAAAATATGTAAATAAATAAGTGGGTAGTTATAATAGCATATGCAACAAAAAGAGTGATTTTCATCTGCATCAATTTCTGTTCCAAATTCTTAATACGGATTATTAAGTAAAGTTGGAATGTTTAGGAGTTCGAAATTTAGATTACAAAAATAGCAAAACAAAACAAATAAGGTGAATGGAGAATTTATTTTTATTTAAGTTATGAGCTTTCTGTTTCATGTCCTTATTCTTTGGTTAGCCACATCTTCCTTTATTCATATTAATATTGAAAACAATCTGTGAGACCAGTGGTCTAAAGACTGCAGTATAAAGCCTGGAAATGGAGGTATGCTGTTTTTCTTAGCTGTCTGTCATTGAGTCAATGATGAAACACATGTATGAGAGGAAAACAAAAATTCAAGATTCTCATCAACAAAACTTGATGAAGGAAAAGAAACAATTGTTTTCAACAATGTACAGTTGCAATCTGGGACTTTTTTTCCCCTCTTTTCAGAACTACTAGGCTTACATTAACTAGTTGTTGTCATTGTTATTTGCCATCAAGTCGGCCACGACTCCTAGCGACCCCTCCTTGGGTTTCTGAGACAGTTATCAATATGGAAGTAGGATTGCCCAATCTTCCTTCCAAGGAGTGGCTGGTGGGTTTGACTAAGCTGGTGTGAAATGCTATCCCTATGACTAGTTCATATAACATTTTATTCAGTTATCATAACAGAAATCAGTGGATTAGTTGGAAGTCTTAGGTTGATCTGATAAATACATTAATGGCCAAGAATAGGTATAAATTAAAATAAATAGTTTAGAAATATGACATTTGAATTTCTGCAACAATACAACTACTGGTGCAACAATATGAATACATCCCAATTTTCATTAAGTTGAACAGGAACACATTTGAAAAATATAAATTAGATTTTAACTGGAGTGTATAATAGCATTATTATAGTTTTTCTTTCAATAAAGAACACATTCTATCCTCACTCTAGTAGCTAATCTCACTATCACTGAAGATTTCTGATGAGCCTGAAGAGGAAAATAAATTTTAGCTGGTATAAAGGAATGCTAATATGCCTACAAAGAAAGAAGATAAGAGCGAGTCAGTCTTAGCAATAAAATTGAAAGTAGCAGATACTCCTAAAGTTGAAGATGTAAGAGGAGATAAAACCAGGAAGATTAGTTGATGGTGTTTACAAGAAGCACTTTAACCCTAGATTTCTAAGCCAATACTTCCCAACTTTTTTTCCACATCATGACATACATAGAAAATGCTCTTTGTTCCATACACTGGAGAACCTAAGAAGCTGTTTTCATCTACTCCAGATATGGCATGGCTGCAGAAGCTGAAGGGAACTATCTCAACAGGTGAATCACATAGGGATATAGAAACACACATTTGAGAAATTTAGTGCCAAATGACCACCACCCCAACAGATGCCTACTCTGCTACCACCCCAAGGGAAGACTTCAATTTACTCTTGCAAGTGTCAACAAAATTCTTGATTCGAGAACATCAGGAATGCCTGTGGATAGGTGGGTGGGGGGAAGTAGGAAGGCTGGGCAATCTACTTCCATAGTGATACCACCTCGGAAACCCAAGGAGGGGTCGTTATGAGTCAGGTCTGACTCGATGGCATATAACAACAACACATACTGAAGGTGAACAGGCATAATTAGGGCCTTCAGGGACCATACTGGAAGATTTCTGTAGAAAATTGGACAGACTGTTTCTGGCAGTTCAAACCCAGCAGCCACTCCTCAGAAGGAAGATGGCAATCTACTTCTGTAGTGATACTGCCTCGGAAACCCAAGAAGGGGTCGCTATGAGTCGGGTCTGACTCAAGGGCACATAACAACAAGAAGTTCAAGAACACCGAATTGCGGAGTTCCAGCAAGATGGAGGACTAGGCAGAAAGACTGCACAGACCTTCTTCAACAAAGAAAAGGGAATCCAATTAACACAGACACAGAAGATAATCTTGGACCCCT